GAGTACGACTTGACTTCGCAGAAAAGGACTTCATTGAACTAACAAATGACCACCTCGATGTTCAAGTATACGTACAGATCCGAGTTACGAGGCATCCCCTCCACACACGATCTCCACGCCATTCCCAGACGAGGTTGAACACAAAACAAGTTCTCTACATAATACAGAAAAACCCGTCATAGCAAATCATTTTGAAATCAGATTGATTTCATTGGGGATCACAGTCGTTGTCACAAGACGACGCAACGATTGTATGTCCCTAACTCCAGCGTCCTGGAACTTCTTTGACAAGAGGAACCGGACAAGAATATGATGTTCGCCAAATACCAACGTTCATCATCCATCCTTCGAATTGCAGAAAAATAATTCTAAAAAACTCTGTAAAACCCGGATGGGTGGAACCTGATCTAAACTACATTTTAAAATTGGATAAAATGGATATTATACCACTGTAAAAAATTTAATATTAACCAATCATAATTCATCTAACTAACAACCCACTTATTTGTAAGTGCTGAAATTACTTGTAATTTCAGCACCAGAGAGATTTGAATTTAACTTAGAAATTAGTTGCCTCTCCAAGAGAACTTCAGCAGCCGCAATAAACCAGTATACCCTAGATCTATTGAGCCTAGCAGAGACTAGTTAAACACTCTGAGACTAGTAAGTATAAGAGTAAGATTAGGATCGGTATTAGACTAAGAAGTTGCGCGAATCTATCCGGCCGAAATTAAAATAGCGCGACGAGCAGACGGTGCACCCTATCCGAAATTACTCTATGAGTTAACCACATCGGTCCTAACTCAGAAGTGAAGAATATGTTGTGAACCGTCGCATCGGCTCTTTTCAAGTCCACCCTAAAATTCACTTTTTTTCCTAAAATTCAAAACATGTAACCTTATTTAAAATGATTTTTAAATATCAAAACTTAAATGAATAAAATTAACAAACTTCTTAAATATTTTTTGGCTCTTCCCCACTCTCTTTTATCTGAGTTTTAATTTTGAAAAAAAAATGTTGGTTTTTACTCTTCCAATTTTCAATTTCAATTTTGAAAATTATTTTAACATTGTCAAGATCCAATAAATCAATGCCACATTGAACCAATTAACTATTTTGAATAAATTTGTACTTCATATTTCTCCTCGTAGCATCACGCATTCAGCTATAATTACGCGTAATACAACTTAAAAAAACAAAAAGTTGAAAAGTGAAAGGGAAACTTTGCATCGGGTTCTTTTCCAGTCTCCACTTTGATTTTTTCTGAAATTCAATAGATGAAAGTTTCCTTAAATTGGCGGCTCTTTTCCAGTTTACCACCCCATTGGAAAGTTACAAAATTAAGCTGTTTAAAAATTGTTCACACGGCATTTAGCATGTAAGAAAGGTTGTAAAAATTTGTTCACTTGTTCACGCTTTAATGCAGTTTATAATGAGAAAAGTCATTTTAAATTGATTTCCATATTTTGAAATTCAGAAAAAATCAAGGAAGGAACTGGAAAAGAGCCAAATTTTTTTCATGTTAATTGAAACTCTGCATTAAAACGTGTCAGCGTGAATAGGTGATCAAAGTTCTACAATATTTCGGCTCTTTTCCAGTTCCCCCCCCCCTTCAAATTCATTTTTGAAAACCTTTTTTAACGTTATCATAATGCAATGAAAATTGGCATGGTGAACAAATTGACAATTATGAACAGATTTGTTCTTCATACTTTACAGCGTAACGTCACGCATTTAGCCGTAATAACACGTAAAACAAACATAAAAATCGATATTTTGAAAGGTAGGGGGGAAAGTGGCAAAGAGCCAATATTTCTCGCATGCAAAATAAACATTGCTTGTAAACTTTTTTCTAAACAATTTTGTTTTGTAATTTAACGAGGGCGTAAAGAACTGGAAAAGATCCTGCATGGTAATAACTTAACTCTAGGCTCTTTTTCTTTTCCCGCCCACCTGTCAATTTCTATAATTAAAACCATTGTTCACATTGTCTGTTTGTCATTAAAATTGACATTCAGACTAATTAGGCCATGACAAACATATTTTGTCTTCATAATCAACCATGTAGAACCACTCGTTAGACCATAAAATTGACGCTCGTGTGAATTGGGGGGGGGGGGAGGAAAAAGAGCCCTTGACTATTGTAAATACATTAATTCTTCATCGGTTACGTCGTAGTATCACGCATTTAGGTATAATTAAATGTATAACAAACACCAGAATGAAAATTTTAAAAGATAGTGGGGAGTTCAAAAGCGTGCTAACTTTTTGTAATATCATAATGAAGGTTTGCGAGGGGGCTCTTTTCCAGTCTCCCCCTGATTTTTTCTGAAATTCAACATATAAAAGTCTATTTAAGTTGACTTTTCATCTTGTAAACTGCATTAAAACTTGTCAACGTGAACTGGTGAACAAATTTTTACAGCATTTCTTTCATGCAAAAAGAAAATTTCGTGTGAAATTTCTTTGAACATTTTTTTTTGTAATTTTAAGAAGGGGTGGAAACTGGAAAAGAGCTTGCATGGATAACAAGTTTACTATTGTAAACATCTTTATTAGTCATACCTTAATTCTTAGTATCACAAATTCAGCCATAATAAGAACATAAAAAAATTGACAATTTGAAATGCAGGCAGGAAAGGGGGAATTAAGCCCATTTCACGAGCCAATTGTTTTGAGAACAATTTCCAAATAGCTTTATATTGAAATTTTACAAGGGGTGGAAAACTGGAAAAGAATCGAATCATTCTTGAAAAATTAGAATCAAAACTGCAAAAAAAAATCGCTGTAAGCTAAGTTGTAACATCCAAAAAAAGCAAATTATAGCCTTTCATAACAGTGTGTGGGGTTGGGGGCAAATCTAGTTTTTTCTTGAGGGGTGGGCGCTTTATTCCAAAAGCTTTTAAAAATTCTGTCGACCTTTTTCTAAGTCGACCATATTGATTGTTCGAGCTCTCTGAGATCAATTTGAATACGCTATTTTGATCAGATAATCAGCGCTGCAGATAAGTTTTTGACAAAACAAACCAAAAAAGTTTTGAAAAGTTTTGACCGAAAGTTGCGTTCTTTTGGCGCGCTCTCTTCTTCCAAAATTAGCATCTATTGGCGTCAAGGGAGCCTTTAGAAAGTTTTTAGGGCCGGTTTGTTAAAAATGGATGTCAAAAATTGGTTCCAAAAAGGGTTCCTTTGCGTCATTAGGGGATGGAATGCCCGAGGGGGGATTGTCAATTTTGCGGTGTAACGAGTGGTTCACCAAATTGCTTTTTATGGCCTAATCAAACGGCATGCTAATTGTTTCTATAATTTGGACAATGTGAGCAGAAAAATTTATAAAAATTTGCAAACGAAATGGAAGCAAAAATAGCCGGTTGATTTCTAACTTCGATTTGTTCATTGAGATATTGAGTCAAATTTTTTTAGTAAAATTACTGTTCTCTGAAAACAAAGCTGATGGTGTTTTTGCTTTTCCTGTCCCTGCGAATTTCTAATTGCAAAAGTTTAATCACATCAACCTGTGAAATAATTTTTTGGTCCAATGGTGCAATGATGCTCTCCCAAGCACTAAAATTATGGCGTGGTTTGTATTTTTTGGTATACTATTTGAATACTGCCCTATTTGAATATTTTTTGAATACTGCCCGAAACCATTTATAAAGAGTAGACTTTTTTGTTTTTTTTTCATGAAAAGTCGCTCAATTTTACGTTAAACTTTGTTCAAGTTCAGTTCATTTTTTAGTAAGAATAAGGCAAGCTCAACAATCGATTAGAAAAAGTTTGAAAGTGACGAAAAAACGTGATCGACTTCTAGTTTCGAAGGTGTAATTTAGTTTTCAGATTTTCCAGCAAAATAACAAAGTTACTTATTGTTCCAAATTTTTCAAATTGGATTAAGTTTATCAAAAAGTGTCAATCAAGAAATGTTTGAGAAATTCGAAGCGCTCTAAGAGCATTCTTTTTGTTTTTTCAAATTTCGAAAGCTGATACTTTTTCAAAAAAGGAATCATTAATTTTTTTCTGTTTTCTTGCGTTCATTGGCTTTTTTCCAACTGTTTGATGTGTTGTCTGTTGGCTATGTTTGTTATTATTCTAATTTTTATAATAATAAAGTTTTTTATTGTGCTCTGGTGCGGATCAAGGATTTTCTCGAGGGGGCGGATTTTCAAAAAATTTTCGAAAATTTTGGCGACCTTTTTTTAGATCGACCAAATTGATTTTCCGAGCTCACCTAAAACACTAAAAAGACGCTGTTTTGGCCAAATTTTCTGCGCCGCAGGCAAGTTTGAAAAAAACAAGTTCCCAAAAAAACGCTTTTTGGCACTTTTTGGAAAATTTTGACAAAAAAATTGCATTTTTTGGCGCGCGCTCCCCCTCAGTTAGTATACATTGGCGCCAAAGGCGCCTTAAGAAACCGGGTCGGTCGGCCAGAAATGAATTTCGTAAAAAGTACCAAGGCGGGGACCCTTTGGGTTGGCAGGGGGTCGAATCCCTCAGGGGGGAAGGGGCCTCCGCCCCCTGCCCCCTAAATCCGCGCCTGATTGTGCTAATGATTGTTATCATTATTATGATTATTCATTCTGATTACGATTATTACGATTATTATTATGATTATTATGATTATGATTGTTATTGTAATTATGACTATTATGATCGTTATTATGACTAACATTATTATTCCTACTATTGTGATTATTATTATTATTTTGATTATTTTGATTATTATGATTTTGATTATTATGATTATTATTATTTTTATTCTAATTATTATTTCATTGCTATAAGAGTTGGCACGCTAACTAATTGTGGCCATGACAAAATATTCAGTCATCGTGCTCAACCTTGTAAAATCACTCGCGGATGTTCATGCGAGGTAGAGGAGGGAAAATTGCTGGACTAAATTGCATTATTAACTAATTGTTCTAGCCAACCGCCATGTATAGGAAAAATTCGAAAAAAAGAGTTATTTGAATTCATAAGGAAACCTAATATTGTAATGCATAACCAATCCCTTGAAGACGTTCACTTTTGACGATGTATACGAGCCGGATTCGACCCAAGCTGATGTATACGAGACAGCTGCGAAACCCATTGTGAAAGATGTCCTAGATGGGTTCAATGGCACCATCTTTGCGTACGGCCAGACTTCGTCAGGTACACAATCGAATTGACAATTGAATAGTCGATGCAGTTAAGGTTCATTTCCCGGGTATGGTGCTCGACTTATGTTTTGACTTTGAAAGTCGAGCATGTGCAGTTTTGCGAGTTAAATTCCGCAGGTCGAAAAGCAATTTTAAGTAGAACACAAAGTCAAAACATACACGATTTCGGCCAAGAGAGTCAAAACATAAGACGAGCCTAGTCAAAACATACCCATTTTTGGTTGAAAAAGTCGAAACATAGGTCGAGCACAGTCAAAACATAGGTCAATTACTATGGAAACATAGGCCGATCACAGTCGAAGAAAATGACTGAGCATTTGTACTCGGTTAGTTTTTCTCTAACCAGACAACAATTGGTTTTTTAACTTGCCATTTTTGCCACAATACTTGATAGAAGATCAAACTCAAATTTAGGCTCAAATTTTTGCATTCTTGAGAGTTCAAACAATGCTTACACTTCCCAATTTTAGTCACGCCGCTTGAAACCATTTTGAGATGGATCAAATAAACTTTGGAAATTATTTGTTTGTAGAGAAAGTCGAGACAGTCGAAACATATCCATTTTTGGTCGAGAAAGTCAAAACATACATCTACGGAGTCGAACAATTTTTTTTAAAGTGTTGATACAGTCTAGAAAGTATAAACATATCAAATTACTGTCAAGGAAGTCAAACAAATCTGAACTGGGTCAAACAAAATCGAAACATACCAAAATTGTCGAGAAAATCGATACATGCGGAAACTTGGTCAAAAAAGTTGGAACATACCAAAATTTGGTCGAGATGTTCGAAAAATGCTAGTTTTTGGTCAAAAAAGTCAAACATAAATTGAGAGCCTCGACGTGGATTCCATGCAAGCGATGTTTTTTCTTCAATTTACAAATAACTTACTCGAAATAAACTTTTGAAAACTAATGACGGGTAAGCTGTCCGAATGAACGTCCGTTTCTTTTTTTTTCTCCCAAATTACATAAGTAATCCATTTGTTGTAATAGTGTAATGAGGGGTTTTACAAGGTCAAATATGAAGACAAAATACGTTTGTCTATACCTGATGAGTCGGCATTCCAATTTCTGTTAAAATTGGACAATGCAAACCAAAAAATAGCTTGAAAAGTTTGAACGTGGGGTGATGGAAAAAAGCCTGTACGTCTGAAAGCATACTTGACTCAATTAAAGTTTTTACCGAATATTCAAGAAATATTCACCATAAGTATTTGAGTGCCGATTTAAGTTCGTCTTTTTTCAGGTCAAATTTTTTAGTTGCCTTTTTATCTGGTCCCACATGCTCATTAAGGTATTAATTCGGTGAACTAGGAGGCCATGAAAAAACTTTAACCCGTTCTCTTTTCAAGTATTGTTCACTTGGAACAACAGTTGCATTATCTTGTTACAAGTATTAAAATTACCAGCTGCTGCCGGATAAATGGCACTGCTTCGGGTCTCAAAATTTCATTTATATACCGTCAGCCGTTCAGATTTCACTAAACAAAAACAAAATTTGATTTGTTCCAAGCCAGGTTTTTTTTTCAATGTTCGATTTGGTTTGCGTTCATAATTTGGTTACTGGTTTTGGTAATCGATAAGTTTTCGTTTGATTATCCCTGCTATGAAGGCAAAACTGACTTACATTGCTGTAAAGAACTTCTTACTTTTGTTTATTCCAGCGCAATTTTTTGGTGGTAAAGCGTTTGGTACTAATTTAAACTTAGTTTGCTTTTTAGGATTCTAATTAATAAAAAACAGAACTATCCTTACATACAGGCAACCAATTTTGGTCTTATATCCTATAATCTTCCACTCTTGCGTGAAAAAATGAGTCTGGTTGAAAATCTCGATTACAGATTTCAAAAAAGACAAAATAGTTTTGTCCAGTCGGTCAGCAACAGTGTTAGTCAGAAGAAATATTTGCCAAATTTTCAAATTTGTTTGTCATAAAAAACCTTAGGAAATTTCTTCAAAAGTTGCCCGAAAGTTGAGTGGTTTTGGAATTTGATGGTTTTGGAATTATTTCACTTATATTTTGATGACGATGCTACCTGCACTTGGAAAATGCATTGTGATTGTGTACAGTACAGCTGCAGAAGTTTAGTAAGAACCTTCCTACTTGAAAATCATTTCAGAGGGTCGATGAACCCTCACGGACTCTCCCGTGGAATTCTTATTAATAATCATAATATTAAAAATTTGGTTTTTTCAAAAAACGTGCAACGCATGACCAGTATATTTTTTCTGATGACACCATAAGGAACTGAAAAAACGAAAAAATTTAGAGGTGCACAGAAGTGAAAAAGAGCCAAACAACTCAGTACTTCAGCTTTTTGCCTGTTTTCGAATTCCTCGTACTGTCACAAATTAATTTAGTTTTAGTTTTTTCTTTGTGAAACAACATACTTGTTACATGTGTATCAAAACCCAAGAAATTTTTGGGTCTGTTTTTACCAAAAAAGTATCTTAAAACTAAGAAAACACGTTAACCTTAGGAACTAAAACTTGAACTAAAATAAGTCTTGTTTCGGCTTTTGCTTATATTTGTTTGTTGGCCGTAGTTGATGAAATTCTTTTCTGTTCTGCCTCAACTTAAAGCAATAGGTTATGGTAAAATAAATTTTTCGCAAATTTGTTCAAGTTGATAAGAGCTCTTCAATTGCCCACATTCCGCAGTTGCTAAAAAACCGTGAAAGCTGGTTAAAAAAAAGGAATAGTTCGAATTATGGGAAAAAATGTTATCAATTATACTGTAAACCCTGAATTCAACTGTTAATATGAATACTTCCCGACCGTTTAAAAGACCGTCCTTATTGTCATAGGAATTTTTTGGTGCAGCGACTCGGGATGTTTTCAAAGAACTCGGAATAATCTAAATTTTTGGGAAAAAATGAGGTTTTAGTCTAAAAAAGGGTTGATTAATGAGAAAAAAATTAGGTTTTTCCCAAAAAAAATTTGATCAAGAAAGTTATTACGTTATCTTGGAATTATGCTATTTTTTCCAACGCTGTCCCTTCTCGAAGAAACAATTTCTCATCAGTCTTGAGATCAATCACTCAACACTGGCATTCTTAGCTCAGTTGTCACCGGACGTTTTGTCTCTGTCAACCGAGGTCATAGCCAACAGCAAGACGACATTGCAACTGTACTGAAATTTGCCAATCTGCAGTACAACTAGACGCTGACTGACGCCGGAGACCAACATTTACGAAGAAAGAAAAACATTCGAGAAAATTCTATGAACGTTAAATTTTAGTCCCATTTTACTGCTGTAAAGTTTTGTACAAGGAATTTTGTACAAAAAAAATTGTACAACGAACAAAAACCAACCCTAATCACTAAATACTCGTTGGGCTAACATGAACAAAAGTTCAATAAACCTCAGAAAGCTTGCTAAACGGTTTTCCTAACTAGTTTTTAAGGTAAATTGAAAAAGATTTGAAATACACAGAAAAAGTCTGACCGAGAGTTTCCATATATTTGCCCAAAACGTAGTAAAACACCAAAAAATTTTGATTTTTGTGTTCAAAAAAGACAAAAATTGTTGCCTCTGCCCCAATTTTTGTTTTGTTGAGTGAGTTGTTTCAGCCAATTTCTTACCTCGGGCTTTCCTCCTTGTGTTGTCTGAAACTTGTAACAGCTCACTCAACTCGACGTTACTAGTACCAATTTTTGAATCGTTCCGATAGCGAAACGTCGTAATCCGACCCTGAAAACTGCTCTTTTTTCGGCGTAATTGTGGTTGTTTGATTGGATTGATTCTTTACCTCAGATCTTGTTCCTAGGGGTTGTCTGAGTTTCACATCAATACACTCAAATTGGGCGCTACCGTTCTCGCCCGCTTATGTTTCATTCAGTAAGCGAACCCCCACCGACCGTAATCGTTGAGCGTGCATTACCGTACACATATAAACGTACCCCTGTACTGTCACCCGTAGACATTGACAGACCTTGTTTTTTCTAAGAGTCCTAACTTTACCTTAATAAACTTAATGTAGCAATCGCCACATCTAAAATGACTTTCATCTTAGCAGCTAGCTCTTTTTTTTGCGATACAAGTTCAACTCCAAAAGCTGAGAGATAGATTGCAAAACAGTTGTTTAGCCATAAAAGATCTTTCTTTAAAACATTTTGCAAAAAATCAAAAGAAAACAGTGCAATATCTTTCACTCAAAATCCCACAGTTAGCTTCCGGGAATAATATTATTTCTGGCATGGCTTAATCAACAATTCTATACGTAAGCATATAAGCAGTAATTTTCTGTGTTTGTCTGCTTTGCAACTAAATTGACTATTAAACAATTATAGAAACCCAACAACTGCAACCATTTATTGTCACCGAGAGGGCACAGACAATATTCTCCCCTTTTTACATTAGTCTGAGCCTTTAACTAATCCAATATTAAACCATATTGTTTCCCAAAAAAATGGCTTCAGAGTTGTAAGAATTTGTTAGAAGAAGTTGTCTTCAAAAATTAAGAAATCCTCTTTTAACCCCACGAGAGTCCAAAAAATTAGCCTGGGAACCTTGTTTAGAGTTTTTAGCATCCAAAAACGATAAAATCCTGACTAAAGCCCGACATTATCTTGACGCCAAACAGATTCTTAGCCACTTTAAAAAGCTTTAAATTTCAAAGCACTGGAACCCCATTTGACAAAATTAATGTAGAACCTTCAAAAAATTTATCTGTGGCAATGAAGTCGAAAGCAAAATTTTGCTGTTTTGCGCCGTGCAGAAATACAGCGATAAAATGAAGCTAAATTTTGCTTGAAACAATAAAAAAGTTTTTTAGAACTGGACGAGTTGGCCAAAGAATCATCAATTTAAATTAGCCGACGCCACCTAAAGTGAAAACGCGATTCTTGAAGACATGAAAAAGTAGTCAAGTTAACCAATCTTTCCAACCGGCGATATCTATCTCGGGTAGACAATTCGATTAATTTAAACTCAATAACATAAATCCGAAAATATGATAATCCAAATAAACAATCAGTACAATTCGCAC